AAGCAGTATGTCTAGCGGCTCGCTACGCTGAGTTTGTGGTGAAGGAGCTGCGTGTGACCGTCACGCAAGTCTATGGCTGGACTGACAGTCTCACTACCGTTCATTGGATCAGTAATCCGTCGTACAAATGGAAAACATTTGTGGCTAACCGCGTCAGTCAAGTCCAAGAGATATCGAAGAAGGTCGGCATTGTGTGGAACCATTGCCCGGGCCTTCACAACCCAGCAGATTTACCGTCGCATGGGAGTAATGCACAGCAGATCCGTAGTCCGTTCTGGAGGGGCGGACCAACCTGGATCACGGAGCCCAATGACTGGCCCACTGCATCCTCAACCGCAGCTACAGATGAGTCCAGTGTAGAAGTACGAGTGTCAGCCACCACCTGTAGTCGAGAATCTGATAAGGAATGGTGGCTCCGATTCAGTAAATAGTCGAGGGCACAGGGCATGGTGACTCGGATGTTGCAGTGGAAGCACACTGAGCCTCGTGCTGAACTCTATTTTGCAGCAGACAACGTATTGTACCGCATCGTTCAAGCCGCATGTTTCGCTGAGGATCTTGAGCTGATCAAGCAAGGTCAACCAGTGAAGCCTGGGTCGAAGGTGTATCAGCTTGCACCGTTTCTGGATGAGCATGGAGTGCTCAGAGCCGGGGGACGACTTCAGCACAGCGAGTTGGCGTATGGAGCCAAGCACCCAGTCCTGTTAGGCAAACATCATCTGACCGAGTTGCTGTTGGAGAAAATGCATGTTGAAAGGATGCACCAAGGTGTAGAAGGAGTCTTGTCGTTCATCCGTCAGAAATTTTGGATTATCGGTGGTCGACGGGCGCTACGCACCATTACTCAGCGATGTGTTACATGCCGCCGCTACAAGGCTAAGGCTGCCTCAGAAGTCTGCCCGCCGCTGCCGGAAGACCGAGTTGTTCACGAGAGGCCGTTCGCAACTACCGGCATCGACTATGCTGGTCCGTTGTACGTGCGCCGTGGTGAGTCATCTCCGAAGGTATGGATAGCATTGTTTGTGTGTGCCACCACCAGAGCAGTTCACTTGGAGGTGGTCGATAGTTTAAGTACTGAGTCATTCTTGATAGCATTTCGGAAGTTTGTCGCGAGACGTAGTTTGCCGTCTCGGATCAGGTCTGACAACGCTACAACGTTCCAGGCGGCATCTGACAAACTGAGTGTGCCATGGATGTTCAATCCTCCAGCCGCAACATGGCATGGAGGCTTCTATGAGAGAATGGTTGGTACAGTGAAGAGTGCCTTGAAAAAGGTAATGGGAACAGCGTTTCTGAAGGTCCAGGAGCTTGAGACCCTCTTGTATGAGGTTGAAGCAGTGGTGAATAGTCGTCCGCTAACTTATGTGTCTGATAGCCTGGATGAGCCACCGGTAACCCCTGCAATGATGATGGGTGACATCTGGATGTCGTCAGAGAAGCCAGCAGGTACCCTGGACGCTGCGCAGATGTCATCGAGATTGCGTTACCTCAGTCGGACACTGGGGCATGTCAAGAATCGTTGGGAGGTGGAGTACCTAAGTCAGCTGAACAAACACCAACAGACCATGTCGCGCCCTTTAGCTGTGGGTGATGTGGTCTTTGTTCTCGACGATACCAAGCGCAAACAGTTCTGGCGTTTGGGACGGATCATCGAGTAATTCCCTGGTCGAGATGGTAAGCGTCGTGTTGCCAAGGTTAAGTTGAGTACCAGTACCCTGTGGAGGCCGATCCAAAGGTTAGTGCCGTTAGAAGTATCGTCACAGGACGTTGCTCCTGGGCTTGCAGATATCGCTCAACCTGCTATCGTCCCTCAGCAGCCAGCGTATGAACCGTCAGCACCGTTACCACCACCACGGCAGCAGGAGATGACGCGTTCTGGGCGCGTAGTCAGAGCGCCGGATCGTTTTTGACTTGTGTGCATTGTTGTACGGCAGTGAGAAGCCCTTTGGTGGGGAGAATGTTGCAAACCACCAGTTCTCAATTGGGAAAGGCCTTCGCGCTTATGGCATTGTATTCGTCGCAATGTTGTCTTTCGACTCCGCCGTACCGCTGATGTTGCTGCATGGCATACGCTATATGCGCTGTGTGTGTTTTGCTGTATACGCTGTTATGTCCAGTTTTATATGCGTATGTTTTTGCATGTACGCTGTTTTTGCATGCTATAAATAGCTGGTGTTATTAGTGTTCATTGTTAATTATTCGATGAAGTGAAATATACTGTCTAAAGGAAAAGTGTTGTCCTCGTGCCGTGTGGTCGTACGATCCTGACAATTTAGAGAATCTTAGAGGGTTCATAACAATAGGGGAGGGGGAAACTGTATGAGAGCCCTATCTCCTGGTAAGAGTCATTATCTAATAGAGTCATTATCTCACCTGTTCCCCTAGTAGTATAGGGGGAGGGGGAGTCTTGGGAGGTCGGCCCGAAGGGCCAATCGAGAAAGTCGATTTTGGCTCACCTTGAGGTGAGCCAGAACCCCCCCCCCCCCTATACTACTCGCAAAATCCCTGGATCGGGGCGGTAGACAAGAATAGATCCAGTAGTGTGGCAGTACTGCTGGTCACTCGGGTAGGAGATGTGATGTGGTTGCTAAACTGGTTAAGTACATGATGCAAAGGAGTCACAGCATGGGCATCATTAAAGTTTACGTTGAAGTCTCCTACTAGCACAGTTGTGGTCTGCGGTCCACCGCAGGCAGTCTCTAGGTTTGACTCCAGCCCATTCCAGTAGCCCGCAGATTCACTAGGTGGTCGATAGCAGCAGCCCAGTAAGACCGTCTCATTGCCTGGTCGACCTGGGGCTAGAATCTCCAGCCACAGCATCTCCAGCTCACACTCGAGGTCACATCTTCGACGGACTCGCAAGGACGTATGACAGTAGAAGGCAACGCCGCCTCCTTGCCTGCCTTCCCGATCTTTGCGGAACACACTGAAATGAGGAATGTTTACTTCTCCGTCTGTTACATCGGCTGACAGCCAAGTTTCCGCAACACCTAGGATGTGTACTCCACGGGTTGAGATAAAGTCTTCAATTTCTGCTACTTTTCTCCGATTCCCACTACGGTACCATGGTGATTTGCTCACGTGAGAGGCAGTTTTGGCGCGAGTTCATTCCGTGTAGTAGTAGGTATTTTACTACTCCCCGAAAGGAAGTTTTTTCTTTCTTTTGTATTTGTGGTACGAAGTTTTTTCTTGGCTTTTGGCTTTTCGATTGGTTGATTCTTCAACTTTTTCCAGTCATCTCCCGGCCCCCGCTATTTTCCCTCAGGACCAAAGTCAGAAATTGATTAAAAAAATGGTGATCCGGCCTGCCAACGGAATGCACGGAATGACTGTGCACAGGTGTAAATCACTCTCAGCTTCAAGCTCGTACCGTGGGGTACACATGACCTACCCGAATCGTCGGCACGGCACTCACGGTACCGCAGTGGGAATCGGCCCTAATAGACATCCTTAGCAAAAGTACGATAACGCTAACTTTTACGGTACTCACTCCCAGCCGTGACAAAAGACGTTATCGGATAACGGAAAAACGTTACAGAGCTCAAAATAACGGGCCGACGTTCGTTATGGAAATTCTGCAAAAAATGCAAAAACTCGCATTGTTTTGTAACTGGCGGGAGATAAAAAGCACGTCGTGCAGATCGAGGTGAGATCGAGAGTCGAGATTGCTTCCTCTTGTGACATTTAGCTTTTTTGGCGAGTTTTGCCTTTCAGTTGACAATTTCTGCGTCCTCTGCTTCGTGCCTTTCTCCCTCTATCACATCTGGGAAACAAAGGACCAGTTCCACGGCACTCCTGAGGAAGAAATTCATCGGCCTCTCCCAGACGTGCTGGAGCTGAAGAAGTTGAACCCTTACAGTCTTCGGTGCTGCGTTTAGGAAAGGGTTTCCAAGGACCTGGGAACAGCGAAAACTCATTTTCGCCGTGCTTTTGCTATTCCAGAGTAAAAGACCTCGCCAAGGTATTCTTTCGGAACGACAGCAAACTAATCCCTGTTCAAAATTTTGAATTTCCCGCACCTGTTTCCACGAAAATTCATATCGCCATAGTTGTCACGACTACTTCGTCTCAACTATAACGTACTTTAAGCTAAGGGAAAAGTCAGCTTGAACGATCCGAAGTACGGAAAGGTTTGCGTTTACGTTAGCGTTTTTTTAGCTAAGGATATCTAATAGGCCATTCACACGACGGGCAAACTTACTTTTATCATACCGTTTCCTAGGATATTTACTCCGATACGATAAACTTGGACACACGCGTGCAAGTGATTTTTTATCTTGGCCGAGGCCCTTTTGCTCGCGATTATCTTTGCACGCCAGGAAAAGTGTCGGTTGTTGAAAGTGCGTACTGCAAATGCAGTGCTTGAACAAGGGAAAATTCAAAATTGAACATTTCCCGGCATTTTCAGGGGGTCACTATGGATACATTGACGGTTGCAAAGTTTGCCCAGCACCGTGTGAACTGGATCACGGTTTTCCAGTGTTATCTCGGTCACACGCGTGCAAAAGTTTGCACGTCGTGTGAATGGCCTATTCGGCTACAGACATTTAAGAAAGCTACACTGGTCATGATCTAATACGATATGGTGAGTTCGCCAACTGTCATGTGCCGGTCGGTGCTCTTGTTGTTACCCATTTGCTCCTGTTCCATGTCCGAGTCAGTCAGTAGCTCAGTTCCTGAAAAGTCAACAAGTGTTCTTGGCAGTCTGAAGGTTTCCGTCCCTTGGCCACCATAAAGCCTCCCTTGTCATGGAGTCTGCGAGTGCTTAGAAAAGTTCTTTCATAATGTTTCATTAAAGTTCATCGCCATTTTCTAGTAGGCAGACCAGGTGAGAAGGCATCGGTACCTGGTCATGTGATGAAGTAAAGTAAAATAGCACAGTCATAGTACCGGTAGTTAGCTTGTCTTACTATCAGCGGACATCCCATTCAGTGCCCTGAATTAATGACTTTTAGTCCAAAATTATCCATGTATGGTACTTTCCCTCAAATGGTACTCACTATTTATTCGGGATTCAGGTGGGTAATCCATGGTGCAGTTTCCATTCCCGCAGTCTTCCACTGTGTTTTGGCAGTCTTCAGCTATGTAACAGTAGGATTGATTCAGGCTCAATTCGTTCTCACAAGTGCAAATGTAAGTAGAACCTTCTTTTTCGCATTGTGTGTATCCAAAACAAATTGGAAATTGTCCATTTGCCAGGCATGTGTATCCAGGTGAGGAACAATTCGGCGTAATAACTGGAACGAACTCATTACAACGGCAGTAGTAGTCAACGCTTCCGTTATTGACGAACTTCTGAAAATGCCCAGGTGCACAGGACTTTGACACTGGATAGCATAAGACATGAATATACGAGATTTGATTTAACACTACACTGACAAGACATAACTGCCTGACACTTAGAAGTAGAACGCCCTTCAGGCGCGTGAACATTTTGAAAGTTTTCACTAGTACGAAATACATTTTCATGCCTGATCATCAAACCATGGACAATGGATTAAATAGAAATGTTGTTTTGCCTTTCCTCATTGCACCGTTTCTATCACCTCTCTACTTTATTTAATCCATTGTCCATGATCATTTGATGTTGCCTGTATCTCATCTGAGGATAAGGCATGAAAGAATACAAGTGAACACTTTCAAAAATGTTCAAGAGCGTGAAGTGTGTCCTACTTCAAAGTTTAAAAAGAGAAAAGACAAATTAGTCACCAGTTATGAATATTAGTCAAATATACGGTAACTTATAGAGTAAACAAACAAAAAAAAAACAAAACCAACAAGGATATTGAGACATTATTCTTATTATTCTTATTTGATAACCGCAATCAGTAATACAAGCTGGATCGACATTTGTGTACACTATATTCATGTAATGTAAAACTGCGGAGACAATGTGCAATAAAACGATGAAAATGTGAACAAATGGTGTAGAGAAAATGAGGATTCAAACAAGTTTTCGTACAACACTCATCAGGAGTCTTCGTTGTACTAAAGGACAATGAAAGCAAAATTGAACGATTATAGAAAATCTAAGTTAGAGAAATAACACTAAGAACAACAGCAGTGAAATTTACAAGTGTGAATTTTATCAATGAAGGCGAGAGCAATAACGAATGCGTGTACTAACACTAAACTTGCAACTGAAAAATGAACAAAGAAGAGAAAGGGACAAAGTGATAACAAATAACAGCAGTACATTACAAAATATTATGATCACACCAGAGCAGTTCAGGACAAGACAAAAGGGGAACTGTTGACTTCAAGATCAAAGCTAGAACGTCGAACTAGAACGACAGAGAAGCTCAGCAGCACAACGGAAAAGCATGCGCGGCTGATACAACTTAGAGTAGAGGAGTAGAAAGATAATGATCTATCACGTGAGGTAGCTCACTAGTACGGATATCACATCCCTCCACCATTAGATGAGGAACACATAAGCAATAGTATGAGAAATGAGTTCACTATAATTTGTTGCTGATACGAGAAGCGAGTTCAATGTAACACACTAAGGAACTGCAAATATCAACAGAGAGCTGAACGCAAAACCCAGCAGGTCTGCAGTTACAAGTTCATACGATCAGGGGACTTCCTTGAGCGTGTAGACCTGCGCAGATTAGAGCTAGGAGAATTAACAGAGATAGCAGAAGACTGAGTAGAAGATTCAGCAGAAGGTGCAGCAAATGCAGAAGAGGATAGCGATGTTGATTCCACATCCTGGCGGCTGGCGGCAACCTCTGGCTGTGACGGCTGTGGTGATTCGGCATCTGCATGTGACGGCGGCTGTGCAGTTGCCAAAGTTGAAGTTGAAGTTGATGGCGGTGATGACCGGTCGGATATGCCTGCACTCTCGGGTAGCATTTCTCCTCCCTCGGACGGAAGACGGCGTCTAATGTGATCAGCATGGCGCTTCCATATGCGACCATCATCCAGACGTACAGTAAACGTGGCTGGACCAAGACATTCTTCCAGCACACCAGGCATCCATTTAGGCGTCGATGTGAAGTTAATCACCCAAACAGCATCACCACAACAGAGATCCGACGCCCGAGCTGTGCGACGGTCAACAGCAGCACCTTGCCTGTTCAAGACACGTGCTGATATATCTGGAAACGTCAGGTCAAGACGAGAACGTGGCGTGCGGTTCATAAGCAGCTGAAATGGTGACTGGCCTGTTGTTGACTGAGGCGTTAAGCGATAATGAAACAGAAAGCGGTGTAACCGTGACGCTAGGTCTCCACCAGCACCTGACAATTTCTTCAAGCCGGATTTGACTGTTTGAACTGCTCGTTCAGCAAGACCGTTGCTTGCTGGGTGGTAGGGTGAAACCAAGGTATGCTTGATACCGTTACTTGAGCAGAATTGTTGAAACTCCGAGCTGGTGAACACTGAGCCATTATCCGAGACAAGCTGTTGCGGAAGACCATGTGTAGCGAAACACTCACGAAGCTTGCCAATGGTAGCTGTCGACGTAGCAGATGGAACGGCATGCACGTCGATGTACTTGCTGTGGCTGTCGACGATCACAAGTAGCATCTTGCCTTCCACAGGGCCTGCATAATCAATGTGCAGTCGGGTCCAGGGTTTGCCTGGCCACTCCCAGGGATGCAATGGCTGTAGTGCTGGAGACTTCTGGGTTGCTTGACATGGCTCACAGCTGCGGACCTTGAGTTCAATTTCGGCATCGATCGATGGCCACCAGACGTAGCTGCGGGCGAGCGACTTCATTCTGGTTATGCCGGGATGGCTGAAATGTAACTCTTCCAGTAACTTTTCTCGGCCTTGGGGCGGAATGACAACGCGAGACCCCAACAGTAAGCACCCATCGATGATGGAGAGTTCACTTCGACGACGGTAGTACACTTGGTAATCACTATGCACGTCGTTAGGCCAGCCTTCCTGGACGTACTTAAGAACTAATGCAAGCACTGGATCACGGCGAGACCATTGCGCAACGCTCGATGATGTTACGGGAGTTCCGTCCAAAACAGTCATTGACAAAACTGTTTCAGCCGGCACGGGAACCTGGAATTCGGGCATTGGTGCCGGCAGACGACTGAGACCATCAGCGTTTCCATTCGATTTGCCGGGCTTGTACTGTAGCTCATAGTCATAGTTGGCTAACATCAGCGCCCAACGCTGAATACGACCGCTGGCCATAGCAGGAACGGGCCGACACTCGCTGAACAAACCCAGCAGAGGTTTGTGGTCTGTTTGAAGAGTGAATGATTGGCCATACAGGTACTTGTGGAATCGCTTGACAGCGAAAACCATGGCGAGGCCTTCCTTCTCAATCTGTGCGTAGTTTCGTTCTGCTGACGACAGGGTACGCGATGCGAAGATTACCGGATGCTCCTCGCCATTGACAACATGCGACAAAACTGCACCAATGCCGTACGGTGAGGCATCACAGCTCACAATAATTGGTAGTTTAGGGTCGTAATGCACACGGACGGGTGAGTCAATGAGCAGCTTCTTGCTACTCTCGAATGCGGACTGTTGACGATGAGACCAGTCCCAACTCTTGGAAGACAATAGTTCATACAACGGAGCAAGTACTGAGCTCAGGTTAGGAATGAACTTGTGGTAGTAGTTGATTAGTCCGAGGTAGCTTCTCAGCTCTTGGACGTCGGTAGGAGCCCTTGCATCAATGACATCTTGCACTTTCTCCTTGGTGGGCTTAATTCCAGATGCATCGATGATGTGACCTAAGAATGTCACAGAGGACCTTGCAAATGAACATTTGGTGCGGTTCAAACGCAATCCAGCTGCGTTGAGACGTTCCAGAACCATGTTCAGATGTTTGTCGTGTTCTTCACGAGTTGTGCCAGAGACAAGGATGTCATCCAAGAAGATCACGACCATTGGTATTCCAGCTAGCAATTGGTCGAGCGTACGTTGAAATATGCTCGGGGCCGAAGACACACCAAAAGGCAGTCGGTTGTACACAAACAGTCCCTTCGTGGTGTTGATGGTGGTAAGAAGTTTAGACTGTTCATCCAGTGGTAATTGGAGATAAGCTTGACTGAGGTCCAGCTTGGTGAAGCAACAGCCATTAGCAAGTTTCACGTACAAATCCTCTATGTTCGGCAATGGGTACTTATCTGTCTTGGCTGCCTGGTTAACAGTGCACTTGTAATCACCACAGATGCGGACTTGGCCATTGCTCTTGAGAACTGGCACAATCGGTGCTGCCCACTCAGCGAATTCGACTGGCTGAATGACATTGTTGTCGACTAGTTTGTCCAGCTCCTTCTCCACGGCAGACTGTAGAGCATAAGGCACAGAGCGAGCTTTCAGGAAGCGAGGTCTAGCATTGCGGTCGACTGCAAGCTTGACACTGCCGTGCTTCCAGGTGCCTAGTCCGGGCTTGAAAACATCAGGATGCTTGCTCAGGAGGTCACTGCTCAGATCTCCGGTGACATTGAAGACTCGGTTCCAGTTGAGCTTTAGCGTCTGCAGCGCGTCTCTACCCAACAGATTCGGACCAGAACCCTCGACGACAAACATGGTCAGCTGAGCCGAGTTCTTCGCATGACGGGCATTGCAGATGAGACGACCAATAACTGGTATGATCTTGCCAGCATACGACCTAAGGCTCGGCAGGTCATTCGTCTCCAGACTGGGGAGTTGCTGCTTGGTATCTTTCGACGCCAGTGTCTGGTACTCCGCTTTGTTGATTATTGTTACTGCCGCTCCGGTGTCTATCTCAAACACAACAGGGGTGCCAGCCAGACTCACACTATACATATAAGGATCCACGTTGGAACGCACATGACCAGAGCAACTGGTGTGGTGCAGCTCCGCGCTGTATTCCGCCGTCTGGTCAGGTGATGCGAACTCCGGGGCTCTCTGCTCGGAAAACTGATGCACAGCCTTCGACCGGCATACCTTTGCAAAATGATTCGACCTGCTGCAGGACTTGCACGTCTTGCCCCATGCTGGGCAATCCGAGCGGTTGTCGTGCCATTTCCCCCCGCATCCGCTACATTTGCGAACGGCCTTACTGGAAGGACTGGGCTGGTCACGACTTGATGGGTGTCGCCTCTCCACTTTATGGACTTGGGGATGTTCAGGCTTGCTGAAGCTGCTGGCCCCGGCCATGGCTGCCACAGACGACATCGTGACTTCCACTGAACGTGCATAAGTAAGGAGGTCTGCCAACGACATGCTGCTCTCCATGAAAGCCTTTTCACGTACCTTCGACGACACACAGTGCTGTACGACCTGAGACTTTAGCTCTGTGTCCATATCTGCAAATTGACAGTGCTTGCCCAAACGCCTAAGACGAGTTACGTAGCTATCAAGGGTCTCCGACTGAGATTGTTTCTCACGACGGAACAAGTAGACCTCGTATTCCCTGTTGCGCTTCGGACTGAAGTGAGCCGTCAGAGCATCCTTCAAGTCGTCGTAACTTGTAATGCTACTGCTGTCAAAGGTGAGGTAGACGTCAAACACGTCCTCACCGCCACCGTGCAAGAGCTGGGCTCTCTGCCGCTCGTCTTCCGTGATGTTTGCTGCAATCAAATAATTATCGAAACGAGCCAGCCATTTCTCCCAACGAGGGCCAACCGACTCAGGCGGTTCCAGATCAAACGGGTTCAATGATTTTACTGTGCTCATCGTGGCAGCTGAATCAAGGACTTCGTCGCCAAATATTATGATCACACCAGAGCAGTTCAGGACAAGACAAAAGGGGAACTGTTGACTTCAAGATCAAAGCTAGAACGTCGAACTAGAACGACAGAGAAGCTCAGCAGCACAACGGAAAAGCATGCGCGGCTGATACAACTTAGAGTAGAGGAGTAGAAAGATAATGATCTATCACGTGAGGTAGCTCACTAGTACGGATATCACAACTTGCAACTGAAAAATGAACAAAGAAGAGAAAGGGACAAAGTGATAACAAATAACAGCAGTACATTACACCTAGAAAATTAACGGCCAAGCTTGGCCGCACAAAATATGACACTTTACTTGAACAATTTCAACCCAATTATACCATCCTTCTGTACACACAACTGTACACCATTTCTTCACATTTTCATTGTTTTATTGCACATTGTCTTCACAGTTTTACATTACATTATTATTATTATTTAAAAATTCGACGAGGAGACAATAATTTTAATACGGCAATAAGTAGGACGAGCTGAAGCGACATGTGGACTACTTTATTAACAATGTAAGCGATGGAGACGATGCAAGAAACAACCTAAAGGGTAAGGAAAAATACATGTAAGAAGAAAAAGGGCAATGGAAAAAAAAGATGATTCGAACAAGTTTTCGTACAACACTCTTCAGGAATCACCGTTGCACTAAAGAACAAAATGAGAACAAAGGAAATAATATAGCAATCAAGGTAGGGTGACACGATACAATGACAGCACTGGAATATCGAGGTGCGATTTCTCACAAAAGTGTGCAGAAAACAAGGGTATACAAGTAAGAACTAAGCGTGACAAGTGTGTATCAGCAACAAAAACAAAAAAGTGAGAACGAATGATAATAATAACAATAATAAACAAGAACCTCAGTCATGTTATCTACAACTTCGAATGCCGACATTGTGCTAGTCGGTATGTTGGTAGGACTGTTCAGCACCTGAACGCACGTATCAAACAACACACTCCACTTCACATACTTCCACCCAGTGCGCAATCTGAGAGGCCCAAACGCGGAAGGCCTAGGAAAAACCCATCACCTAGACGGCAGGATAGTTCCCTGCTGCTGTCTGCCGCTCCCCCTCTGACATCTGTGTTGGACGGGCTGGAGCTTGGCAGCTCTTTGGAGGTGCGTGCAGAACCGCCACTGGTGCAGCCCTGGGGTGTGCCTGAGTCTGTGCCTCTGGGTGCTTTGCATGGGGCTGTGCCTCGAGTGGTGACAGCACCTCTGCCTCCCCTGATCCTCCTCCTTCGAGGTCTGTGTTGGTGGGGAGCACCCGCGGCGGTCGATTTGTCCCACCGGAACCAGAGCTGGGTTCAACAGAAAGACCAACAACCATGGCTGCAACAACAACACCAGCTTCACATCCAACAACAACACCAGGTTCACATCCAACAACAACAACAACTAATCCACAAAACAAAGCAGCAAATGACAGACCACGGAGATCTACAGCAGATTACAACCGGACCTATGAATTCACGGTAAAAATACAAAGGAAACAATCGGAAAGGACGACGACTGACGTGAAGGCAACGGCATTCAGGGTAGGCGTGGGTGGTGAAGGTGAGACGCAGGATGATGCAAGTGAGGAGGAGAGTCAAACCGCGGTGGATGACGGAGCAGGTTCTGATTCCGACAGTGAGGGAGAAGGTGAGCTGAGTGAGGGTGAGAGTGAGTGTGAGGGTGTGCGCGTGAGTCGAGATTGTGTGCGTCCGTCTCGTAATAACAAGTCTTCAGTATACAATCATTTGGTTTCTAGTACTGACTGTTGTCGTACTTATTCTGATTCCTGTTTTTCTGTTTTGTGCCGTGCTCGTCAGGGTTATCTTTTGCAGTTACAAGTTTTGGAAGCTGTTTGTCAGCGCATTCATAAGCCGAATTTGTGTGTCCAGAAAGATAGTGTTATTACCCTAAAATTGTTCAAATAATGTTCTGTTGTGTAGTGTGGCAACGTTGTTGCCACTTGTGCCTAAATGTGTTTTGTCACCTTCTTGTTTATTATTGTTATTATTATCATTCGTTCTCACTCTTTTTGTTTTTGTTGCTGATACACACTTGTCACGCTTAGTTCTTACTTGTATACCTTGTCTTGGCACGAAGGATCTTGTCTTGGCACGAAGGATTTTCACGCCACACTGGAGCTCGGGCTTATCCAGTGACTTGATACTTGACTTACCCACGACTGCCATCCACAGCACTTCCGAAGGCCATTTAACATTCGTTTTGAGAAGGCCATTTAATTCGTTTCGGAAACCCTGCGCCACTCTCTATACAACGTTTCGAGGAAATCACACCTCATCAGTTGAGCATGAGTAGGCTGAAGAATATTGTGCTGAAGAGCATCACTTATATAGTGCTCTCCATGTACAAACATCACCACGGGTATAACTTAGTTCAGACACTCACTTTTCAGCATAACAAATGCTTAGTGAAAACCAAATAGCAGTCTGAGTTTGTGTCGCTCTGGGACGGAGAAAACAGACGTCGACAACCCTCTCTTATTCACAATGCCCTCACCTCCAGGCACAACAGAATTTCTTGCAGGTTAGCCCAGTCGAAGATTCGCTGGTATTATAGCGGTCCTGAGTCTAAGTCAAGTGTCAAGTCAAGTCGGCGCAGAGGCGCGAGCTCCAGTGTGGGGAGCAAATCCTTTCCTAAAATACCATCGCCAAAGTCGCTATCACTACTTTGTACTGTGCGCGACAAGCTGGTTTGGAAGTAGCAGCGTTGCGAATTGCGGGGCGTTCTCGACACTTTTATTTATTTATATATGTCTGTACCTCATAGCATTTCAAGACAGCCAATTGAATTGTGGAGATGGTGCAAATCATGCAAACCAGCCGAAAGTGTTCGCATAAGCCACTTCAAATAGATACACAAGTCCACAACAGTTACAGAAAAAGACGAAAAGAAGACAAAACTAAGGTGCCGACACCACACGGGCACAGAAGCCCACCCACCGCTTCGGTCAACAGTAAGGGCCCATAACGCCTCCAGACCGACTATGCTTGACAAGGAAAATTCATTCTGGTTGGCATCATCTCATCACGAGTAGCGTTTCCAGCGTATTTCTTCGTCGTCCCCTCCAGCCCCCTGGACCAGGCTCTGCGAAGCACGCTCCCATGCTCAGTAATGGTGAATAGTTCGCCGAGAGCTGAAGGGCGTGCCCAAAGAGCCTCCACCTAGCTCTTGAGATGATCATACCAAGAGAAGAAGAGAGGTACGCTCATAGTCATCCACAAACTCGAGATGGACTGCACGGACAGCGAAACAGGTGAATAAACAGACCCACACCTTGGTCGTGGAGGAGTCGGACTGCTTGATCAGCAATGGTCCAAAGTAGTCCAGACCGGTGAACTCAAATGGATGAGCAGGGTTGACACGCTCGGAAGGTAGAGGCGGCATCAAAGGAAGACGATACAGTGGTGAGTCTTGCCGAAGGCACACAAGACATAACTTCAGTTCATAGTGAACAGCCTGACGACCATGACGAACCCAGAAGTTGAGGTGAAGCTGTGCGAGGGTGTGGCTTGGACCAGCATGCAGCAGGCGGACATGGATGTCGAGAATGATCATGTCCATGCCGCATCTGTCTCCGCTACTCCCGTTTTATACACGCTTCCCGCTGCTTTGACCATCCCTGTAAACGTCTCACTTAGTCAGTTGAGGAATAATCGTCTCTTTATTAGTAAAGAAGCAGTTTTATACAGTAAGTAGAATAACAGGTGCCAATGTTAGCCGTGAGCAGTAAGTACTAGAAGTTGCACAAGGTATGCAACTGATAGGCGCGTACATAGGTGTGCAGTGATAGGCGTGTACATAGGTGTGCAGTGACAGGCGCGTATATAGGTGTGCAGTGATAGGAAGGCAGAAGAAGGTGTAAAGGTTACACCATCCCCTCCTCTCCATTGTGCAAAACACAATAGAATGAAATACTTAAGAACACAAGTGGAGCAATATTTCTTCCGGACTCGTCCTTGAGAAAATTCTCTGGCTCCCAAGTTGTCTCCACATAACCCTTCCACTTAACCAAAACTCGGGTGTGCCTTTGCATACTCGGTGATCCAAGATTTCCTCAACAATTTACTCTGTGTTGCCGTCCAAATCAGTTGCAGGCGGCCGAGGCGGCTGGCGGCGCCCAGGAATTGCGTTCACTTTGTATGATTTCAGCGCGGTCCCATTGAACACAGGGTGGCAGCGTAAGGTTGTCGGCAGGTTAAGGCGATATGCATTGTCATTACCTGACTGGGTGAGATGAGACCCATTAGCTGACGGGGTGACTCCGTGACTGGGTAGTCTGGTTACTGGGTAACTGGGTGACTGGGTAACTGGGTAACTGGGCAACTGGGCAACAGGGCGACTGGGCGACTCTGGGTGAATCGGTGACTCCGTGACTCTGGGTGACTCTGGGTAACTGGGTAACTGGGTAACTGGGTAACTGGGTGACTGCGTAACTGGGTAACTGGGTAACTGGGCAACTGGGTAACTGGGTAACTGGTGAACTCTGGGTGACTCTGGGTAACTGGGCAACTGGTGAACTCTGGGTGACTCTGGGTAACTGGGTGACTCTGGGTAACTGGGTGACTCTGGGTAACTGGGTGACTCTGGGTACCTGGGTGACTCTGGGTAACTGGGTGACTCTGGGTAACTGGGTGACTCTGGGTACCTGGGTGACTCTGGGTAACTGGGTGACTCTGGGTAACTGGGTGACTCTGGGTAATAGGGGATTCACACACACGGGTAAAATCACGGTTATGGGAAAGTTGTTATGGAAACTATGGTACTGGGGGAAAGGAAGAACCTCTCGGGAAAAAATTGGCAAAGCCGTGGCCGTGGGCCTCAGGGCGTTTGTCAAGGGAAAAATCCCATGGCTATAAGACGAGCATGCGTAGATCTTGTCTTTGGCGAGAACTCTGAACCCTAGTTGTACGAGTGCATCGCAACTTGCATTTTCACACAGTGCCCATCGGAATATCGTGCATGGCGAATGCAAGATACAGTACAGAATGTACTACAAAAATGCAGTACGGATTATTTTTTGAGTTGCCCCGCCACAAGTTCATGGCCAAACGTGCGGCCAAGGCAAAACTGACCACGGGTGTGAACGGCCCCACTCCGTTGACCGAAGGTCTGAACTTTTACCTTGTCCCGTGACCTCAGGTTTACCCGTGTGTGTGAATCCCCTATAACTGGGTGACTCTGGGTAACTGGGTGACTCTGGGTAACTGGGTGACTCTGGGCAACTGGGTGACTCTGGGTACCTGGGTGACTCTGGGTAACTGGGTGACTCTGGGTAACTGGGTGACTCTGGGTAACTGGGTGACTCTGGGTAACTGGGTGACTCTGGGTAACTGGGTGACTCTGGGTAACTGGGTGACTCTGGGTAACTGGGTGACTCTGGGTACTCTTGAACTGGGTTACTCTGGGTAACTGGTTAACTCTAGGTAACTTTTTTTTTATAAACAATGCAACACAATATTGTGGAAAGATCACAACACTAAGAGACAAGATGAAAAGGAAATCTTTACAATAATTGTTGGAACTTTCTCCATTTGTTAGTGTTTGTCTTCGTTTAACATGTATATTACTCAGTATGTCGTAATTGGACACTGCTCGATTTTTCTTACCTTGTGCGTTTCACTATTTGTAACGTGGCTCCTCTGCTTCAGTTTTCGTTCTATCTCTCTGGCAGGGGCAACCACCACCCGTCTGGTGGGTGCCAGCATCCTCCGGCAGTTGCGCTGGGATTCTACGATACATTCTTGTTCTTCGATAAATTAGAAATCTGCCTTTCTAGTTCTTCGCTGTTTGAATTATTTTTTATTTGTGTTGTTTCTTGCGGCACTCGCTTTTGTGTAGATTTGACCTTTTTGCATGTCCGCGTGAGTACAGATGACATCATGCATTATTTTCTGTCACGTGTTTTGCTTTGAGCGTGTCGTTCAAGATGTTTGAACTGCGCCCGCTGGCCGATTTTCTTTGCTTGCTGTTTTCTTTGCCAGTCAAGCGGGGGGACGCAACGGTGTCGTCCTTCTTGGCTGTGTGTCCGGTACGGGGCCGGGTACGTGCGTCCCCAGCTCTCCGTTCTTTGTTCTTTTTTGAGTTAGATTCTTCAATGGTGTTTTGAGAACATGTTTGGTAATACAGTCTTCTAAATAGTTCGATGCTTCCAATGGTTGTGTCTGATGCAAATGTGGGTTTGCGAGGGAACCGGTGAACCATTTGGTTCTTCGAGCCGGATCCGACAGGTTTCGACTGGTAGTGTCAGCGATGGTAATGGCGTTTCCGCCACCACCAGATTTTGTGACTCGTAGTTTTACGACACGCCATTATGGTACGAGCTTGGGTGAAACTCCTGTTGAGGAACTTGAGGACCGCTGGAAAGAGTTGATTTGTCGCAGAACAAACCTCCGTAGACGCCACACGCGGATCAGTAACCGCTTGCGAACTCTGATTGCTTGCTCGTCGCCGTCTCGCCGATATTTGCAGCCTGATGTCCGTGAATTAGAATTTGTACGGTCAGAGCTGAATTCGGTTTTAGAAATTATGCGCAGCATGTTGGAATCCCAAGAGAGTGAGCAACTGCTGAATGAGTTGGACGAGTGGGAGGCGAAGTTTGATAAGGAGAGTGTTGGTGTGATGGCTGCTTCTGAGGCGATCTTAGATTCGCCTGTTGAGTCGGTTTCTGGCCAAGTGGCATCAGGCCAACAATCAGCAGTCGCAGAACAGGTTACCCCTGTGCCAACGTTAACACCACCGCACATGCGGCCTGCGCCACCTCTACCAGCACCACGCACACGGCCAACACCACCACCAAAGCCAAGTAGTCTGAGCAGCAGACTAAGTGTGACGTCAGTTGGTTATAGTGCTCCTGCCAGTAGACTTTCTGAGTGGTCTCCTCAACCGGAATCTGCTGTCGACCCCCATGTTAGCGATTGGCTTGCCAGTATGCAACCGCCACATGGAGTAAGCGCTTTTCACCATCTGAAGCCACTAGAGCTGCCCAAATTTAGTGGCAGGACCCAGCAGTTTGTACGGTGGAAACAAACATTAAGCGCCTCGTGGACGAGGACCGCTTCGTCTCTGACGAATATAAACTGGCACGACTGAAGGAGGCGCTGCAGGGTAGCTCGGCCGAAGACATTATCGCGGATATGTTCGACGGTCCGGGTGCATACACTGCAGCCTGGACGGAGCTTGAGCGCTGGTTTGGTGGTTCCGATCGCCATCTTGCCTAGCAAGAGAGAGAGATTCTGAATCACCCACGCATTGCCTCTGACAGGGACACCGAGTCTGTCCGGAAGTTTGCTGTCAAGCTCAGAAATGTGCTCATGAACCTGGACTTGGCTGGAGAGACCCCTGGTAGGGAGCTATTCCTAAGTGCGCTGGAGAAGCTACCCAGAAGTGTAGTTATACGATTTTACGAACAACATCCAGACAGCAAATGCAACGCAACCACGTTGTCGTTCTGGCTGGTAAAACGGGTCCAGAACGCTAAGCAAGCCGATGACATCTTGGCGACAGTCGGCACAGAGAAGTTGAACAAGACACCTCCTGCGGTCCCGCCAAAGCCTAGGTCATCTGCTGTGTATGCTGTGGAGCTCAGTACTCAGCAGTGTGCCAAATGCAGCAAGAGCCATGCCACAGCAGAGTGTCCGGAATTCAGGGCGCTGACAACCAAGCGCCGCTGGGACCTGGCCAAGCGTGCCAAGCTGTGTAGCTGTTGTTTGGAGCATGGACACTGGGCGTGTGAGTGCCAGAAGCTGGAACGTTGCCACTGTGGAGAGAGGCACCACTCACTTCTGCACTACAGCAAGTCAGTGCAGCCACAAGCTGCAGCGCAGAATCCCGCTACGATGCGACCAGCAGCTACGGCACCCCGGCAGGAAAGTTCTCACCATGCTAGTGTCAGTGTGCCGCAGACTACCGCTTTCGCTACCGTGCCAGTGAAGATTATTGGCCCAACTGGCAAGTCGGCAATCTGTACGGCCATGCTGGACTCAGGCTCGACTGCAAGCTTCATACGGGAGGATGTAGCCCATGAGTTGGACATGGCAGGTGAAGTTCACATGTTGAACACATCCACGATTGGTGCGCAGCAGACCTCCGGCTATCGGGAACTGGTCAAGGTGCAGATGGAATCCATTGATGAAACAGTGTCATACCCGCTCAAGGCATGGGTATATGATCGTGTGACCAAGAAGACGCAGGTCGTCGACTGGAGCTGGTACAAGTCCAGCTATGAACATCTGAAGTTCATAGACTTTCCCGAAATCTCCAGCACCACGGTCGACCTCCTGATTGGTCTAGACGTCATTGATGCCCACGCATCACTCGCGGAGTACAGAAGCAGCAGCGGTGGACCAATTGCCCGCAAGACGCCACTGGGATGGGTGTGTATGGGCCCAACGCCCAGTGCACCCAGTGATGACGAGTTGTCTGTCAACTTCGTGCATGCTTTATACGGCGAATGCAGCATAGACAGCCTTGTCCAGAATTTCTGGAATCTGGAGGCAGTCGGTATGAAGCACGAAGGCACCTACATCACCCCTGCAGAGAAGGTGGCTGAGGAGATCGTTGAGAAATCCATCAGCTTCCATGATCAGCGAGTCACCATGGCAATCCCATGGGTCCACAGCAACGGCGAGCCTGGTGTCACCGCTAATCGCGCCATGGCGGACCATCGCCTGCGCATGCTAGAGAAATCGCTGGACAAGCGTCCAGAGCTGAAGGCAGCATACGGCAAGGTCATCCGTAGCCACATTGACAAAGGCTATGTGCGCACAGTGTCGGCAGCAGAGGTTGAGGCAGATGGCGACGACCAGTGGTTCCTGCCGCACTTCGCCATTGTACGAGACGACAAGGCCACCACGAAGGTACGTGTCGTCTTTGATGCTGCTGCCAAGTATAACGGGAAATTGTTGATCAATGAGTGTATGTACCCTGGACCCGCTCTGCAGAATGACCTAGTGAAAGTGCTTCTGCGGTTCTGCAAGGTTCCAGTAGCGCTCACGGCGGACATTACCGAGATGTTCCTGCAAGTCGTGCTGGCTGAGCAAGACCGCCGATATCATCGCTTTGTGTGGGACTCACGCGTATAAGAGTTCCAGAGGTTGGTGTTCGGCATGAAGGCGTCTCCGTACTTGGCCTGCAAGGCGCTACAAGTGGTGTGCCGCGAGACAGCCGACAAGTATGACCCAGCCATGTTGCAGATCGTTGACCGAGACATGTATGTGGATGATCTGCTGCACTCTGCTGTCTCCGTACCGGAAGCCATCCGCACACAGCAGACAGTACAGGACATCCTTGAGCAGGGCAGCTTCCACCTCCGCAAGTGGCTCAGCAATAGCTCGGAGGTGATGGACGGCGTACCGGAAGCTGACCGCTCACCGCAGCTCGTAGCTAGCATCAATGATCATGATCACTGTGCGCTACCATCAGTCAAGACGCTAGGCGTGATGTGGTAGGCAGAGGATGGTACCTTCGCCTTTGAGTTCAAGCCGCCCGCAACAGAGAAGCTGACCAAGCGAGCCGTGCTGAGTAAGATGGCATCTATATTCGACCCACGTGGACAACTAGCTCCCTTCACGATTCGCTCTCGTGTCATGTTCCAGGAGCTGTGCATCCTCGGCATGGGCTGGGAGGATCCACTGGACGCTGAGCACACGTGGAGATGGACATCCTGGTTTAGCGAGCTGGGAGATCCGGCGCTGATCCGTGCGCCGCGCTGTTTCAAGTGTCCGGGTCGCGAGTCATCTGTCGCTACATTGTCGCTGCACGTGTTCACGGATGCTTCAGATGCCGCCTACGCCGCTAACGTGTACGTCCGTGCTGAGTACCCAGTCGGCAATGTGCGAGTGACGCTAGCACTCGCCAAGGCGAGTCCATGTCCCATTAAGAAGATGTCGATCCCGAAGCTGGAGCTGAAGGGTGCTGTGCTTGGTGTTTGCCTGGCCCAGACAGTGAATGACGCGCTAGATCTGCCGCAGGCTGATGCCACCTACTGGTCCGACTCGATGAACGTGCTTCACTGGGTGAGAGCACATTCCAGAAAGTTTAAAGTCGACGTGGGCAACCGGATAGCTGAAGTACAAGAGTATTCAGCTGGCAGCCAGTGGAACCACGTTCCTGGAAACCCAGCCGACAAGGGCACCAGAGGCTTGACAGCAGCCCAGCTAGCCAGTGATGCAGTATGGTGGAACGGCCCTGAGTTACTCGTCCAGCAGCACACTGAGTGGCCGTCTCGTCAGATAACCGTGCCAAAAGAGTTGCCCGGAATGGTAAAGCGAGCGCAAGTGATGGAGTTCGCTGTGCGGCAAGTGTCAGCGGAGGTTTTTTGTCTCCACCCCGACAACTACTCGTCATGGAAACGACTAGTAAGAGTGACGGCCTGGTGCTACCGTTTCATCAACCGGTGTCGTCGACGTCATGCTAGCACGAGAGGGGATCCGGAAGCAGCGAGTGCAGCAGTCGACTCTGTGGAGCTGAAGTCTGATGAGCTCCAGCGTGCCGAATGTCACTGGTATGCGATCGCACAAGCAGTGAGCTATCCCGCTTCGTATCGGCAGCTGACGTCAGGGAAGTCCCTTGCAGCGAATGACCCGCTGCTACGGCTGAATCCAGTGCTCGACAAGGATTACCCGTGTGTGCTATGCGTTGGAGGTCGTCTGAAGACTGCCAGCCACTTACCTGAGCATACCCGGCATCCGATAATCTTGCCACAGCACCATCGGATTACTCAGCTGATAGTCGACGCCGAAGATTGCAAGTGTGATCACAGTGTTGGCCCAAACCACCTCTTGGCAAACCTGATGCTGCGGTTTTGGATCATCCGTGGCAAGGTTGTCACACGATCTCGCCGTGCACACTGCGTGCTCTGCAAGAAGAAGTGGGCCACTGTGGCTTCGCAGCAGATAGCACCGCTCCCGCTATTCCGAACAGCTCCACCGTACCGGGCATTTTCAAGAGTGGGAGTTGACTATGCCGGTCCGTTCCGGACAAAACAAGGACGTGGCAAGACCCAGCTCAAGAGGTACCTCTGTGTCTTCTCTTGTTTGCAATCTCGAGCCTGTCATTTCGAGATGGCGTATGGCCTGGACACCGAGTCGTTTCTGCTAGCATTCACCCGTTTCTGCAAGCGCAGAAGCGTGCCAGCTGAGGTCGTGTCAGACAACGGGACGAACTTTGTCGGTGCAGAGCGCGAGCTAAGAGAAGCCGTTCAAGCGCTAGGTTCTGGTGAAGTGGCCGCAAGTATGGCCAGCCAAGGAGTTCACTGGCGCTTCAATCCGCCTCTCGCTCCGCACTTTGGCGGCGTATTCGAGTGTGTGGTCAAGGCAGCAAAGCGCGCAATGATGGCAACTCTGTCCGAGGCCAATCTCACTGATGAGGAACTTGTAACTGCCGTGGTGAGTGCGGAAGGCCTGCTCAACTCGCGTCCGTTGACCGCTGTCCGGACTGACGTGGATGACGCCGCACCGCTAACACCGATGCACTTCCTAGCTGGACAGTGCGAGCTGAGTCTGCCACTCGGAGAAGTTGCTCAGTTGCACCCACAGCGTCGTTGGCGGCTCCTCCAACAGCGCCTACGCGAGGTATGGCGGCGATGGCTTCGAGAAATAGTGCCTCGGCTGAATGTGCTTCAGCGATGGTCTCGACGCAGCCGCAACATCAAGCCCGGTGACATTGTCCTCTGCATGGACAAGTCTACTCCAAGAGGGCGTTGGCCGCTAGCAAAAGTGATAGAAGTGTTCCCCGGATCTGATGGATTGGTCTGTGTAGTGAACATCAGAATTGGCGCCAAGCAGTCCAAGCGGCCGATAACGCAGTTGGTGCCGTTGGAAGTTGAACCCATCGATGAAGGTACCGGTCAGTATGATGATCTCACGACTTCCGATTAGTCTGGAGTTGTTCGTGAGAGGGGAAATGTTGGAACTTTCTCCATTTGTTAGTGTTTGTCTTCGTTTAACATGTATATTACTCAGTATGTCGTAATTGGACACTGCTCGATTATTCTTACCTTGTGCTTTTTACTATTTGTAACGTGGCTCCTCTGCTTCAGTTTTCGTTCTATCTCTCTGGCAGGGGCAACCACCACCCGTCTGGTGGGTGCCAGCATCCTCCGGCAGTTGCGCTGGGATTCTACGATACATTACGTTAATTAGAAATCTGCCTTTCTAGTTCTTCGCTGTTTGAATTATTATTTATTTGTGTTGTTTCTTGCGGCACTCGCTTTTGTGTAGATTTGACCTTTTTGCATGTCCGCGTGAGTACAGATGACATCATGCATTATTTTCCGTCACGTGTTTTGCTTTAAGCGTGTCGTTCGAGATGTTTGAACTGCGCCCGCTGGCCGATTTTCTTTGCTTGCTGTTTTCTTTGCCAGTCAAGCGTGGGGACGCTACGGTGTCGTCCTTCTTGGCTGTGTGTCCGGTACGGGGCCGGGTACGTGCGTCCCCAGCTCTCCGTTCTTTGTTCTTTTTTGAGTTAGATTCTTCAATGGTGTTTTGAGAACATGTTTGGTAATACAGTCTTCTAAATAGTTCGATGCTTCCAATGGTTGTGTCTGATGCAAGTGTGGGTTTGCGAAGGAACCGGTGAACCAAGAATAATAATAAAACGTAGCCTGAAAAATGTAAACAGTCACTGAGTACAGTTTAATTCAATATCCACGTCCAGTATATATAATAAAAATAATTTGCTGCAATTTATAGATTCTCACATGCGAGCAACCTGGGCCTCAGCAACAACCAGCTCAGCAGACTCCGGATGCCGAACCGATCGCTCACGGAAAAGACCCCGTGAACCCCGCAAACACATGATGCATGATCGCACCAGGGCAAATGAGAGACGGCATCTGATGTAAGATATTACGTGGGAGTATTGCTCCTTCCTCCTTTCCGCTCTCAATAACGCGATTCGGCGATAGAGTGATGTCGCCGCTCTTCCCATGCCACCACTTCCCGACAGCACAACAGGCATGAACGTCGCATGCTCCACCTCTCTCACTCTCTCTTCATAGCATCGTCACTTTTCTTTTTCATGGCGCCGATAGACAGTTGTGTGTGTGTTGCAGATCGATTTAAGCGTGCATGAGGATTAAAAACCCGTATATCAAGTAAAGTACGCTCAAAACGACATCCCCACAAACCACTGACCGCTACATCAAGCCGCGCATGCTCCTCCACAATAGCAGACCTGTATCTCATTCTCTCTCCAGTGAGTGGCTGCAGCAGTGGCTCGATGGAGACATTTTGACAGGTCTCTTGAAGGAGAGAGGGTGTCACATCCCGGATCTCATTATGGCGGATAATGGTAAAACCACCAAGGGGACATGACAAGGCATGGTCAATACCATTGTCCCGTCCACAAGAGCAATGAGTTGGTAACCTCGGCGGCATCCAACCATAACGGAGGCACAAGCCGTCCATGAACTCAGCTTTGCTCAGTGAAAAGCCATACTTTTTCAATGGACAGCAAGTCAGCCAACTCGAGGCGCCAGGTTCACGGGCGGGGACAATGGTGTGTTGCAAGGCGTCCAACGCATCATTGCTGATACGCCGTGCCGACTCCGCCTGGCTATGACGTACTTCCTTTCTCCTCTTCGCCTTCTCCCGCTGGATGCCAATCAGAGAATTCCCAATATCAGAAACACGATCCATTATACGCCGGGAGAGAGATGCTGTGATGGCGACACACGACTCATACTGGGAGCACAAAGTCATCGGGCTGACCAGGCCCAGGCCACCTAAACGACAGGGCATTGCGAGTACTTCCCTCAACACTGTGCCAGGCGGTGGCCGACCCGTCATTGCTGGTATAAGCTTCGTGCTTATCACGTCCTCCAGTGGCTGGAACTGGGACGGAGAAATAGACTGAACGCGGCATAGGAAAGCCCAGCAACTTCTCAAGCCCGAGACATATGCATAATATGCTGCCTGGAGCTGCGAGCGAGCAAAATCAGCCAATCGAGTTAGCTCATCAGCCCACTCTATACAAAGTTCTCCTTGAAGTCAGCTGAGCCGATGGCTGGCCCCTGGTACCGAGCTCCATTACACGTAATGACGACACTGGTGTCGCTGAACAGCTCAACTGCCTCACGGTAGCAACGCTCCTTCACCACCAGAATCGATTTTGATGTATTTAGGAACTATCCATAAGCTGGGCCATCACTTGCCAAGATGTCCCACCAACGACGGAGCCTACACAACACACTAGCCGCTGCAGAATCATCTGCAAACCAAGACTGGATAGTCCCGGCTTGTTCAGGTTTGTGCACGAGTGGCATCATGCCAATGGCATACATGTACATTGCCAGAGGGTCTCCCTGGGTTGTTCCGTCCTCCGACAAGATGCAATCACCGTCGACATAATTATAGGCATGCAGGCGTCCTGTAGGTGTTTATTAAAACAGTGGCCAGAGGCCTTCGCAAAGATGTTGAACATTCCGAAGGCAGACGCTGCGATTCAGGCGATTGAAAACGCAATTTCTGAAGTTACTTTATTTGACACTGCAGAAAAATAACTAACCACCCAAGCATGAAAATATATCAGCAGCCGCACCGCAACACCGCATGCCTACTCGAGCAACAACCAGATCTGCAACACATCATCCATCGCAACTCACCAGTATCCTTCCCCCTCAGGCAAGAAACAACACGCTCCGCTCATTTCCCCACTCCCTCATCGAAACGTGGAATCAGCTCCCACCTACCCTTCTGCAGTCTCCCCCTTCTCGCAGAGGCATGCACACGTTCAAGAAAAACGTCAACGACCACTTGCGGCGCAGCAAGTGGGAGTGGGCCACAGACAGGCTATGATCTCTGCCAACACACCAGCCTAATTATACTGACCGCACTCCAGCTCCCTTCTACCCCTCTTTGATCCCCTTCGCTCAGCCTTAAAACCCGATTATCAGTTCACTCCATCTTCCTACGGTGCACTGCTTTTACTATTGTTTTGTCCTATCCCAATCTCAAATTCTCCCCATTATCGTTTGCAAAGCCAGTGCTCCCCTCTTGGATGCACATGTTTCTTTTCTCCTATGTATCGGCGCACAGGAGTAACAATGATTCCGAGACCTTTGGTCGGAGGAGTTACTTTTGCCCCGCCCCCACTTCCATCCAATATGCCACCGCCCCCGCTGTGCAGCATCTGATGGTACTGTGGTATTCAGTAAAAAAAAAAAAAAAAAAAAAAAATATCCTGGCTTGAATTGTTACAAATTGCGTGAGAACTGAATATGACGTTGAACAGTATACCTAAACGGGGACTTCCCCAGGGACTCATAGACTCATAGTCTTTGGCGGATCATGGCGGTAGAAAAGGTACAAAACCCGTTTTTATGGTTCGTGTAGTTAGTATTTTGTTATGTTGGCAACCGCCATTTTTGTTAGGTACATGAAGAAATGGAGCAGAAATAACGGAAGTGTGTGCTTTAAGGTTGAAGGTTCTGGAATTTTCAATGTAGAATCTGTCATTGTTTTAGAGAAGTATCCATAAAGGGCGAATGACTCATGGATTCAATTAGTAATCTAAAGGGCATAATTATTATCTTCGTTCCGCGTTTCCTTAACTATAGAACTACAGTCATGATTTTCCTTTAGACACTGTAGGGCAGCTCTGAAAACGTAGGACATTTTGCTGCTCCATTTACTGTGCGTGGCTGTCAAGGTATCCAATGCATGTAACCCTTTACATCCAACTATTAGGGCTTCACTTCTTGACGGTACCCAGTTACTGCTCTGGACATCTGGACACCGTCTTCCATTCTCTCAATGGGCTCTGACTTTCTTTCAAAGTCTTGCTCGTTACGCTCAGGTAGACGCAACTTCTCTGTGTAAGATCTGATTGCGCTCGTCCTTCATGCTATTTCCTCTTTGCGTATCACCTGTGATTGTCGGCTGTAGCAGGATATCCCTTTGCTATTTGAATGGGGACTTAGTGAAATGGAAATAGCGTTGTTGTCCCACTGGCCCCCGCCACACAGCAACGCGAACTCTTGTTTGTGTCTCAATTCCTATTATTATAACAACAAATGACGAGGGCGCAGGAGGAGAATGGAAAACAAAGGCCAAACGAAAAGTCAGTGCAGATCTTGCAGGCTAGGCTGGTCAGGTCTTGAAAGTGCCGTGCATAGTCGGAAGTGCAAGTGCGCAGCGTAATGTTTTGAAGAAATAAAGGGACATTCGAGGGTAATGCATGGGGTTTTCAGGAACATTCTGTATCAAACAAAAGAACGTCACTTTACCGGGAGTTTTTGTTTGAAACCCCCGGGACCCCGAGAGTAGTGTATGAAGCCTCCTTTATGGTCGAAAGAAACACAATGGATGAAAATGAAATACAAATTTGATGTGTCGCATCCCTGGCTCTCAGTGACCGGACCCAGGAATCACTACGAGCGGCGGATGAATAGACGTGTGGCCTCACGACCAGTCCAGCACAACCCAGGGGCCAACCAATATAGCTGGCTTGGTCCAAGTTCAACCCCACACAATCAACAGACAAAGACTGTTAGTTTTACGTTGTGAGTAGTCATTCAATCCGAGCTCAAAGTAAGCCAAGACAGAGAGCTGAGACCGAGTCTCGACTGCAGTAATAGAGTGAGCGAGAGCTTCTTTTATAGCGCAATTTAGAGATATGGCGTGATCATTGCCTAGAATGATACGAGGTATTTCCAGGAACTACAAGAACAGGTAAAACTGGAATATGAGCAGCCAGTCAGCAGAAAAGCAGAATGCATGTACGTAATCATTTGAGAAGAAAAAGAAAGACATGGAGAAGAAAGACCAAATTGGGACGTGGGGAGCTCGCTCACTCAACGTGCCATAGTTCAGCGCTAGCGGCTTCTTGTGGTACGTTCTGCTGCATTCTTGGTCTTGCTTGTGTGATACTCTGACCT